CAGCTCTGCCATGTTGTAGCTCGGACAGAGGTGAAGAGGCGAGGTCACAGGTGACTGACTGAAGATTTGGTGCTATAGATTAACTAGTATTTATTATCATGACAATTGTTAGGCTGCTGATGTAAATTGATTCATTAGTGTATATTTGACAAAGAATCTGAATTGACATGTCTGACTTTTATATGGCACAAATCAATGTGTTATTTTATCAGGTAGCAATATGTCCTAGTGCAGTCAGAGGGGAAGAGCTAGGGCCAGAGGTGAGGCACATCAAGCACAGAATAATAATTTTAATCTGAGGATAAAATGCATGTACTGAGCCTGAAAGAAGCTTCAGTGCTCTCAGAAGACTAAAAAGATGGCTAGGGTCCACCAGGAGAGACTGGACAGTATAGATGTAAAACAAATATGCCAGCAGTTTATCTCAGTTAACGAGAGGAGAAAGCATGTGTTCGGCTCCTTCACAAAGTGGACATTGAGTTGTTGTGTAGGGCACCAGTAGTCCATGTCTGTTGCTGTAACAGTAGTTCATGTTTAGAATAAAAAATCCCAGCTCACTGATTTGATAGGGGCAATAGTGTAGTGTGCCTAAAATGTTGCATAATTTTGCTGAGAGATCTTTTACTTTGTGGTCATCTTAGATGAGCAGTTTTATGGACAAAAACCACCAGGTCATTCAGTGTTCCCTTAGTGCTAATGTGTTAGAGATGTTGGTGTACTATAACTGAACTAATGTTGTTAAGTCCTTAAAGTCATTTTCTTTTATTGTCATGACTGTATTTGAAGCTATTTTTATGTTTGTATGATACCTGATTTGTATGGAATATGGCTGAAGTAAACTAAAGCCTAAAATACTTAGTCAGTCATTTGTTTTTATAGTAATTTAACATTATATAATTCACATATAAAACTATGAACTGCAATTTTAAATGGTTTAAAAGCATGCAGAATAGCATATGTAGGCAAGTATATTTCTCCTTTTTTTAATCAAGAAGCAAAGACAGAAAGGAAAAAAAGAAACAGGGCAGGGTTCAGTGGTTGAATCATCCGTCCCCACCAATGCCAAAACCAAATCTACGCCCTTGACCCACTCCAAGATAAGGTCAAGATACAAGAAGGGAGAACATTCTGATACTTTCCCAGAAACACAGAGGAAATTTGAAGGCTACAACTTAACAAATTTTAAAAAAACCTGTGATCCAGCTTTATGCTGCAGTCAGTAATGTCTGCAGCATAAGGCTGGTCATAGTTTGTTTGTTCTTTAAGTTAGTTTACTAAATACAGCCAAGACTAATTTAGTAAGAACACAAGGGTCTTTTGGTTCAGACCAGCCCGTGGTCATGAGGACTTGGCTCCATCCAACCTGGAAATTATCAAAGCATTTTGGAATACTAAGTTTTTTTTCTGGAAGGTATACGTACTAGGGAAATTGCACTAACAACCAGGAACAATGCTAAAAATTAAAATTGGCCCTTGATCTTCAGGCAGTACTGCATAAAAACCAGGTTTCTGTCATGAAAACTATGGGATGGGTAGAGGAGCACTTCTAGAAATCCTTGTCTGTGAACACAGGTCACAAATTCAGGTTAAAGCCCTGTCTCTCTGCAAAGGAGAAGCCACATATGAACAAGAACCAGAAACATCACCATCTTCATTGAGCACAAGCTCTTTTAAAATGGACTGAGGCAAAGTGGGCAACTGATCTGTGATCAGACATTTCTATTTCTATCCTTAACCACCATGAGGAAGTCAAAAGTGAAACACGTATGTGACGCTGGTGCGGAGAAATGTGTCGTGAAAGTCTTAAAAGACAAATTGAAGTATGCTAACTGTGTCTTACTCAGAGGTTGTGTTAAAATGCTGTACAGTTTAGTGCAGGCTAAACAAGTTAGCTTTCTGTACTGTGGTGAAGTCTGCAATATGACTGAAGTATGTGCTGAGAAAAACTGCCAAGAAAGTGTATGGTGTGGTGGTGGAATAAAAAATACAGGAAAATATTCGAAGGGAGAGGTTATTTATATCTGCTAAATTGAGTATGAAACCCACTGAATTGTGATAAATAAATTATCATTTGGGGAAAAAATATACCTCAAACATGCACTATGAAAAATCTCTGAACCTTTTTGTCTTGACGGTCATGTCTATAACTTTAAGCTGCCCTAAAGTGCTTTGGAGGCAGACACATTTATATTCCAGGTCTCCAAAAAAAAAACCCAGATTCAAAATCAATGAAAAGCTGGAAGGCGTGTTTTGTTGGGTTAACTGAGTATTTGAGAAAGTAAACCCTGGGTCATTTAGTGGTAACTGAAATGTGTTTGCAAATTGCTGATGTTTTATCTCATAACTCACAACACACGTCTCTCCTCTACATAAGCTTTATAAGTTAAAAGTAGGGGTGGGTTTTTATAATCGATTTATCGATTAAAATCGATTCTGGCTTGGATAACGT